TTCACTGTCAGTTTGCTCCTATTGCTCAATCATTGCTCAAATTCATAAACTTATGCAAATCAAGGGGCTCAATAGAGTGGGTTCTTGGCCTGTAGCCACAGCAACATTCATGGGAATGAAGTGGCTGACAGAATAGCAAACCTTGCACATGCAAATGATTGCTCTGCCAGATCCATTTTGTGCTTTGAAGAGTGACTGTTACAGAACAAATTATTGAAATATTGGTCACTCTGGTCACGTGGTGGTCAGAGCCTCAGACATAGTGCAGTCTTCAGGGAAGGGAACCTTCAGACTGGGCTTGGGAGAGACAGTAAATTATGTGGACTATGGACTGCTACCTTGCACAATTGAATGTGCTGTGGCTCGGGGTTGCCTGCCAAAGACCACCACTGCCCTGAGTGTAATGGACCATCATGATTCCTGCCTTACGGAACGTAGCCTTCAACACTGCAAGCCGTCCATATCTAGGCCGTGGGTCGAACCAGCCCTCGGTCGAACGGCCACTTGTCTAAGGACGATAAATTTTGGAACAGAACTATGCTATCTGAAACCTAACCTCAGATGCGATGAACGTAAAATTACGCAATTTAACAATGCCCAGAAGTCAAATTTGATCCGTGGAATGGTCACTGGTGGTGCACGGCAGGTTCTGTGTGAGGCCGGAGAAAGACAAAGCCAAGTGAGTGGTTCATGGCTGATTGGTGGATGTCCGGACTCCGGAGAGATCCAAGGCGTTTGATTCAGGGCTTATTGTGTACAAAATTGGTGGTGCATGGCTACGCTCCCATGGCTCGTCTGCAGCTTGGTCATGCTGGTGTGAAAGCCCACTTGGCCCATTTCAATTTGGCCAATTCCCGCATCTGCCCCACATGCAACACAGAAGACACAATTGAGCATTTTATTTTGCACTGTTTGCTATACATCAATCAGAGGAGCAAGGAGGGAATTTTGCTCAAATCTGGAGAACCTTTCACTTCCTTGGAACTGGAAGTTGGAACCTCATCACAGCTATGGGAGGGGGAGATATTCCTCAAAAAAGAAGAACTGTGCCACTGTGGTCATTCATTGCCTGGGAGCTGGGACAATACCTGCTAAGATCATTAAGATGCAGCATGGTGAACACCCTATGAAAATTATCAGTGCCTAATTCCTTTGTCATTTCCTTCCATACAACAACCTCTTTGTGAGAGCATGATTAAAAATTCAAATTAAAGTGAAGAGGCAGTTGAGTCAGAGTTTTCAAGAAAAAATCAAGTTGTGCCCTTGTGCTCAGGCTGGGAGTTGTGACTGTTTCACATCCAAAGTCTTAAAATCGAATTAAAAAAAATTCGTGGCCATGGAGCCATATGGTATGGACATCACTCACTCACCCAGGGTCCCAGGGGCGCTAATATCTTTGTCGGTGCTGCGCCGTATCTTGATTCTTAATCAAGTAGCCCCAGTCACGGGTCACCCAGGACCAGCCAACCAGGACATGCCAGTGCCACCTAACCTAAGCTGCAAGCCTGCAACAAACATTTTTATTTTCAGACTTCATTACAGTAGAGGGTTTAAACAAATCATTAAGATGCTTTTTCTGTAAAAGATTCACTGATGTTTTAAATGTAGGTAGCAGTAGCCTTATGTAGGCTGATTTCCTGATTCATGTTCATTCATCTGTAGACTATTAGTTCATTACATTCAGTAGGCTATATAATTATGAATTAATTATCTATACCCATCATGGCTACATGACAAACCGAACATTATTTTGATTGCAATACATAAACAAATAAGAAAAAGGGAATTTATTATGCAATTGTTTATATCTTACGCTCATCTCTATAGTCAGAGGCTTGCGTAAGAATTTTAGCACAATCAAAGGATGATATTATAAGATATAGTAGCCAATGTAAGGGTTGTGCTCTATACTGCTCTAAACTGCTAAACAATCATGTGCCTGGAGTCAAACAATTGATGCACACATCAATCAACCTCAATCAGGCTTTTGCTGTTGTGATAAAAAAATCCCGCCCATCAGAAATATGTTTTGTTCACACTTGCTGTTTGTTGGCTAGCAGTTAGACTCCTGCGTCTCGAAATAATTTTCTCGAAATGAACTGGGACAGACGAAACGAGACGAGAAAATTCCGGGAAAAAAATAACGGGACAGAGGGTAAAATTTGTCCCGGAATAAACGTATGAACCGAGACAAGACTTCTGTCCCGGACTTTAAAACTTGTGTCCCGGTAAATTATATTTTTTTCGAAAAAATCACATGAACAAAAATGTCTTAGAATTCTGTTTTACATATGTGTACCAAATTTCAGATTGATCCCTCTGTAAATTACTGAGATAAATTTTTAGGGAGACGCTCCCCTTAACCGCGCCTTGTCTTGTTCATAACTCAAATGGTCGAGTTTGGCAACGTTCGCCGGTAAGTGCGCCATGCGCCCATGCCGGTGCTCTAGTTACTCTTTAGCCTTCAACTGGTCAAGATCGCTGCCATATCTACTGCTAATTTTTATCAAACTACATAATTTTCCTTGATTTACCGTCATAATTATGGACAAAAAGGGAACGGTTAAACGTAAAAATATCACTTTGGAGACTAAGCTTGAAATAATTAAGCGTTTTGATAATGGTGAAACGAATATGAAGATCGGTGAAGACCTAGGGTTTCCCGAGTCAACAATACGCAAGGGAAACAATACGTTTCTTTCGCATTTCTTTTATTTATTTCCCCTATTATTTAGAAAAAAATATGATGAATTTTAGTGGAAAAAAAATTATTATATAACTTTGCTATTTTAGAGGATTCATTATAATTATTCCCATATATTCTTAATTTTGATTAGCGCGGTTTTGCTTAACACGGTAAAACTCGGGGATTTATTAACTGCGTTAATCAAGGGATTGCTGTACAATACTTGACTGTCTTGCTTAACTTGCAATCTTAACCACACATTGAAAGTTTTCATAAGGATTCTCTTCAACAGTTTTAGTTTATAAGTGAGCAACAAAAAAATTAAGCTGCTCCAATTACTGCGTGCAAGAAATTATGAGAAGAGTTCTGTATTACATTCCAGTGTATTGAGAAATACAATAAGCATGTGTTGCATAATTGAATCTAGCAAAACCTCTCATTCTGGCCAATTCAAGAATGCAGCACAAAAAGGAATTCCCATCTACCGTTTAGTTAGCAGCCATAATCAAAATAATGCTAAATTGTTGAAATATTGCTCTCAGCGCTGCATTAGTAAGTTAGTTGCATTAGTAAGGCCACAGTAAATTTCAAATTGCTGTAATTTTGCCTGGTTCACTATCACATACCATTTGTCAATAAAAATAAGACCCAAAAATTGACAAAATAATTAAGGTGTGCTGTAATCTCTGAAATGATCAGTTTTGCTGTTTTAATAAATAAATAATGTCTCTATAATGAGCCCTTTTTTATTAAAAAACTTAATAAAGTTATATAAGAAAAAATTTGCTTCATTGTGAATTAAAGGTATTCATTTAGTTTCTGAACTATAGCCTGCAAAATTACAAAACAAACATACAGTATAGTTGTCCCAGCAGTTGCGGCCCCTTTAGCACTCATTTCTTTCTATACTGTTGGTTCAATATAAAAAAATATATTGTCAAATGGGGTTATAAGGGATAGGTGGGGTAAATCAAAACGTGCGTCCCACATTTTGTGGAAATGTTGTAGCAGCTAAACTAATTGAAATATTGCGAAACTAAAAATAGTGGTGTAAACTTCAACATTTTATTATCTAATATCTAGTATGTATAAAGCTAGGCTGCTAGTCAAGAAATCATACATTTACTATCTCTAAAGAATTTCTGAAAAAAAGTGTGATTTTGGAAAAGTACCTCTACTAAGGATTGACGGAATTTGCCTATCTCATTCCAAAAAAAATGGCAGCCATTTCTGTGTGATGGGGTAATAAGGGACACCCCTAAAAATGCATAAATTTGTAGTTTAACCTTGGTTAGCAGAAGCTCCAGTTAACAAAAAAGTTGATTAACAACAAAGAATTTTGATTACAATTACCTCGCTCAGCAAAAAAAAATTCACTTATCAAAAAATTAATGCATCCTTGGTCAGCACAAAATTGTGCACAGAATGTCATATACTGTCAAACGGGGTAAAAAGGGATGGGCGGGGTAAATAGGGACGTGCGTCCCACATTTCGTAGAAATGTTGTAGCAGCTAAACTAATCAAAATATTACAAAACTAAAAATAGTGGCATAAACTTCAACATTTTTACTATCTATTATGTATAAAGCTATTCAAGAAATCAAACATTTACTATCTCTAAAAAATTGCTGAAAAAAAGTGTGAAAAGTGCGATTTTGGAAAAGTACCTCTGCTAAGGTCTGAAGCAAAAAAAATATTCGCCGTATTGAAAAATTTTACTTGCATAGAAGTTTTAACCAGGTGTCGGCTTGAAAATGTAATTGACAGAATTTGCCTATCTCATTCGAAAAAAAAATGGCAGCCATTTCCATGCGATGGGGTAAAAAGGGACACCCTCTGGGGCTAGTATGGAATATATCTACTTGGCGAGCCGCGACTGAATTTTTCGAGCCGTGGTTTTATGGATTTGCCAGCCGTGATTCCTTATTCATACCTTGTAATAGTAGTAATTAACAGTAGTTTGTTAATATTTTTTGTTAATATGTACAATGTTAAGAAGTTTCAAACAATTATTTGATTATATAGGATGTATTTAGAAAATAATTGAAAATCTGAAAGACCACAAGGCCACACTGTAAGGGTTCTGGTACGATGGATGGATCAGGATGCATTGAAGCTTGTCCGGAAATCAGTTGCGATGAGTATAAGTGTTGCAATGCGTGGAGAGTGAGGGATATACTATCTAAGTTGTTAGCAGCATTTTCTTGTTAAAAATTGCCTGGTGATGCACTTTGAATATAGCTGGTGACATTTTGGGCTTAAAATCCATATCTTGGCGATGCTGCTTGCAAACTCTGCACCCTGGCCTGTGTGTATTTATGATTATTGAATTGACATTCTTCATTTCAGATGTTACTATCTGGTAGTCTGCCAGTCTGGAAGCTGCATTTTGTGTACAGAAAGAATCAGTTGAAATATATTCTTCAAAGTAGGACCATGAAGCATTATCATGGTCGAAACAATGTGACTAACATTGTTCACAAAGTTCAGAGTATTTTGGACTTTGGTTCTAATTCTTCTTTTTGTATGTGATATTTGAATACTTCAGGTAACAATTTAAATGATCAATTTATCCAATTTTGCAGTTTGTAGACATCATGATAGTTAAAGATCAAGAAGTGCCATTGTTTGAAGATGCTGTAGGACAATCAAGTTCAGAGAGGCAAGTGTGTCTTCTGTGTGGAGCTGTTAGCTTTGCCGATCAAAGAAAATTCTACCAGTCCCTGGAGCTATTGGCTCTGAAAACCAAGTGTAGTGGCTCATCCATGCTCACCATCTTGACTAAGGCAGGTATTTTGCTCACTGCTTGCCTTATGTAGAAGTATAAATGAAACAAGCCCTTTGAGTATTGTAGTTCAGTAAGCCCATTTTACTATCTTCAACTGTTAGATTGTGCCAGAGAGAGTAGAATGATAAATATTTCATTTATTAATTTAACTTGTCAGCATTTCTATTTATACAAGTATTTGGCTATGCTCTACCTAAAGTAGGTGATGTTTAATGTATAATTTTACTTATTAGGTGACTAGGGTAATTGCTTTAGTTTCTTACATGAAATCTATAATTTTGTACCTGTTTATCAATAATATTATTGAAGCAAATTAATTGCAGATTGTTGGTTCACATCACCAGTACAAAAGTAATGATGCAGTTTGCAGCCAGTGCTATAACAGTCTCAACCTGCTTGATGAGCTCCACACTCAAGCTCAGCAGCTGCAAAGTCACCTTGTTTTAACGTATGTTACACTTAGTCACTTACATATAAACTTTTAAGAACTTTTTATGGGATTGTTGTGCTTTTGATTTACCAGTTAATCATTTTTGAAAAAAGGTCAAAGAAAGTTTTGTCCTGTGATGTCTTTTGTTTTAGGTTTGAGAAGCAGTTGTAGACTATAGTATTACTTATAAATGTACAAAATTTTCAATTGTAACTGGCTATTACTAACAATTAAATAGGTACTCATCTTATTTTTTTTTTATAAATATTAATCTTAACTTTTCATGCATGTTTTTAGATCTTATGCTAAAGAAATGTTTGAAAAGATTTTTCATCTAGTTGATGAGCTAAACAAAGTTATTTCAAAATTCAAGAGTTTAACTTTTATGTGGCCTGCAACAGTTACCGCAGCACTCGACGACGGCAAGAAGAACCTCCACTTGCATGCTCAGAGGCGGTGAGGAGTCTGCTCAGCCAGTCCCAGCTGCTGCAGTCTGGCGTCACTATTGGTGAGTTGACCAATAATAAACAGTGCATATGTGGCGCCATTGGTGAGTTAACACTTGATGAAAACTGTATATATTGTGTCATTTGTTAGTTGACACTGGATGAAAATTGTGTACCTATGTGGAGTCATGGTTGAGTCTAAATGATAAACCTTGAATAAATTGCATCATTTTTGAGATAACTGAGGATTATTATCACTGCATTAATGGGAGTTTTAGTGAGTTGACTGAAAATGCAAACTGGTAAGTTGATGGATGATTATCCCTGCATGAATGGAAGTTTTAGTGAGTTAACAGATAATTATCCTTGTATTTACCAGTATATAAAAGAACTGGTGACTTAACAATAAATGACCTTGCATTCACATAGATGAACTGGTAAGTTGTCAGATGAATAACCTTGCATACATAGGAGAACTGGTAACCTGACAGATATTACACTGAGCATGGAGAGAAACATCCCATACAGGCATGTGTGTTGAGTTCCATTTTCATGCATAAAAGTAATGATGATTTAAGCTAATCAGGAAGATTTGCTGGTTGAAATTTGGCTTGATTTTGTCATAGTGGTTTTTAACTGCACCTTGGGTGCTGGTCTGGCATCAAGTCACTCCTAGGAGTACAACAAATTATCCTTCATACCAGCAACTTGCATACGGTACTTAGACATCTTCTTTTAATTTTAGGCATCACATTAGAACAAATTGAGATGTAGCAGTTATTATGGTGCAATGGGAATTTGTTGAGATAACATTCCTAATTTTTGCCCATATTGAGCCATCAGCAAGGCCCTACTGTTTGCTTGATAGCACAAATAATCACGATAAAACAAATATCAGTATTTTATGTACAAATTGAGAGTCTTGCTGGTATTTTACAGGCTTTTAATCAGGAATATTTTCTCTTATTATTTTATCAATTATATTCCTTGTAAGGATAGAATCTCAATGTAAATTTAATGTCAGATGATTTACCTCTGCCTGCTGAATGTAACTGCATTTCCTTTTCATAGATGCAACACCAAGCTTGTCTCTGACATACACCAAGTCACCGCCACCCAAGAGACGTCGTGTCGTGGCGCGCTCTGCCGAAGAATTCTTACGTGATGCTAACCACTGCTGTGACTACCTATGCTCACATGCTCCTGTAGATTCTTCCTCATCCAACTCATCGTACCGGCAATGGTTACCTCCTGAATTTCCTGAATATATTCCTTTGTCTAGCCACACAACTCCCTCCTTTATGCGCTCTGAACATAATGACTGTTTGCCCACCAACAAAAGCTCCTCAGCTTGCAGCCAAGACACAATACTAAAGTGTTCTGTAGGAGACCTCAGCCAGTCTCTCTTTGCGTCCAACCCAAGTACTCTTTTCAATATAAGATCTAATTTATCATATTCTAGTGTTAATTCATCTTCTAATCCCAACTACCGATTATTCAAACAACCTAATTCAAGGGCCAAAGCTACAGAAATCGGCCAAGATATCGAGCAAACTTTGCCGAAAGTTGTCGCCAAATTCATCACTCCATCTCTGAAGAGCGTCATCTCGTCGCCCCGCCGACTCGTCAATGACGAGCGCCTGTCTCGTCTTGACGACAGTGTGCAGGTTGTGAGCATCTCTCGAGACGTGGCGACTGGCCACGAACCTGACGATGATGACGTGAAGTCGACGAGTGACAGCAGTTGTGACGAATCTAGTGTGCCTGCTGCTTCTGCCGCCTTTGGTGGTGTATCTGCACCCGGTAGTGGTGGGTGATTTTTAATCTGTATCATGTTTAAAAATCCAATCTCTTGTTTGTATGCTCAGTAAAAGAAAATAACGTTAAAATTATACTATTCGAATTAAACTCCACCTCATAGTTATGCCTGCAAGTCTTTCGTCTTTCTTCCAAAGTATAGTTGTTTCCAGCACTAAAGCATGATGACCAACACTATGTATCAGTATTGATGCCTTCTGACCTGCTTTGTAGAGAGCATTATCTAGATCCTTCTAAAATTCCAAATGAACTGTTTTCTTACTGTCGCATGCAATGATTCAAGTGGATTGATTTCCTCACTGCAAATTATAGCTATGTACCATAGTGACACATCAGTTTATTGCTTAGAATGCTTCAAATATGAATCTTGCAGTGTTTAGTAAAGTCTTATAAATTTTCAAGAGCAAGTAATGCTCCAGTAATTCAAATTAAATCAAATTCGTTGTCTCTGTTAAAATTTAAATCAAACTTGTCCTTGTTACCAATCTGGTGCCATTTTGTGGAGCCTTCAGACACGGGTAATTCTAGGCTTGCACTCGACTGCCGTGTCATCTTCATAAACTCTCATTTGATTGCTCTTTTGACGACAGTCACTGTAGTACAACAAATCTAATTAAAGTGATAAGCTTCACATTAGCTTGAGGGCAATAATGCCGGGACTCGACAGGCGAGGCTGGCAGCCTGGCGGCGGAAGTGACGCAGGCGGCCATGTTACTGAGCAACCCTGAGGCCTCATCGCTGCTGCAGTCCTTCCTCACGACGTCGCTGTGGATGGCCACGCCTGCTGACGGCGATAACAACGGTCACGTCACCAAAGATGGCGCTGCCAAACCCCATCATCACACGCGCGCCAACTCCGATGACGAAGATGATGATACTGCCGTCACGGTCAGGATTTTTTTCCGATCTTCAATAAGAGTTTATGAGTACCACTTTAGAACTTTATTTACTTCGTTTTTCATATGGTTCATTTTCCGAAATTATTCAGCTGTTGTAAACGTATGTACATCGCTGTACATCCAAGCTTAAAATAACAAAGACAACGTCAGGGGAGTATCGTCCAGTTGGAGTTGTTATATCGTTGTGATGTTTGTGATATATTTAGCGCTTAGTGTTCTGATGGTCCTGTTCGTTACTGGGCCTTCAAGAACGAATAGCATTGATGTATAATGACATTTAAAGTATCCCTGATGACAGGGTTGACTGCAAACAATTTTAGCCGTAGTGATATATGTTGCAGGAGCTGAGCGAGGACGTGACGCGGGAGAGCCTCAACGCCGTAGCGGCTACGCTGACCAGAACTACGCGACGAGAGCTCAAGAACACAGGACAAAGCTACGTCAACACGCGCGGCAAGACGATAGAGGCGAAGCACGTTGCGCCCCAGGACTGCTCCAAGTCAGTAGTAGTAGTATTGAACTGATTAAAGTTGTCATGACTTGCTTTGCTGGTGGAAGTGTTGCAACTTGCACCATTGATGAAAAGTTGCTGCAACTTGCCTCGCTGGTGGAAGTGTTGCAACTTGCACCATTGATGAAAGTTGCTGCAATTTGCCTCGCTGGTGGATGTGTCGCAACTTGCAACACTGGTGAAAGTTATCTGTAATTGACTGGATGATTTATGCAGACGTCTGCTTGTAGTTAGTTCCTGAGCCTCTAGCACGCTGGCCCTTTATTCTCGTTTTTGTGACAGATCTAATCTGGGGAGGCTGCGACTTGGATGTGTGTGCCTACAGTCGCCTAGTTTATTATCAAAATATCCTGCCATACTCTTGATGTCTTTAAAATGATCCTGACATACTTCTAAGAGTGCTCAAATTTATAAAAAGTTAAATTCTTCATTTTTTTTATGGCGAGTTTTCATTTATATATAAATGGTGAACTCTTCATGTATAATATAAATTGCTTGTCGCGATGATTTACATTGCCTACACTTGTCTGCAGAATATAAATTTTTGTCTTATTAAATTATGAATTGATTGATTGTATACACGCGCTGCTGTTTTCGACGATGCAGGTTTAAAATATCACGTTTCAAAACTAGAATAGTTTAGTACTTTGCATGGGCGTTGTTTTGCCCCCATTTACGACGGTGGCGCTGGTTCGAGATAATGGATATTGCTATGCCACATTCAAGATGATGGCGCTGGTGCGAGATGCTTGTCGTTGTTTTGCCACATTCACAACATTGGCGCTGGTGTGAGACGCTGGCTGTTGTTTTTGTCACATTCACGACAGTGTCGCTGGTTTCAGATGCGTGCTGCGCTGCGGGGCGAAGCTGTCAGAAGCCGATCGGCAGAGCATCTTCGCCGAGTACTGGGGCCTCGCGGACTACGCGAAGCAGCGGGAGTATCTCGCGCACCACATGCACCGCGAGGAGAAGCTCGGCCCCAGCGGCCTCACGCGCACCGTCGTACTCTACTACCTCACGCACCACACCAAAGTTCAGGTGACATCTTTCGCTGTAGATACTGATTTTTAATTCGTTTAATTGTTTTTGTAAGAGAAAATTTGAGCATTTTATCGATTCCTCTGTGGTATAATTCCCTTGTATGAATGTACGCCTCCTTGTTACTAATATGCAATCCGATTTCACATGCTCGTTTACTTCGCTGGGCATTTTAAATAAATCGCTTGCTCGTTTCCTCCTCATGCTGTATCTGTCCGTATCTGTATCACTGACGAGTGTCCCCCATGGTTGAAATATATAAGGTTGACCCACGAGAAGTTTCACCTTTCATTTCAGCTTTCTTGTTACGTCACTGAGATCGAGAAATGTAAACAAACCAGTCATCCCCACGACGGATTAGCTGACTGGTTTGAACGCATTTCGGTGATTGGTTAATGCCCGTGACGTCACTGAGATCAGTGACGTCACAAGCAAATAACAAGCTCCATCCGCGAAAATGAGCATCTCGCGAGTCAACCTAATACTAGTTCAACCATGAGTCTCCCCTATCCGTCCTGCACAAAATTTACGAAAGTGCTGGTTGAGCCTAAAATTGAATTTGTTAATGAATTGCATCTGGGTTCTGATTATTGCTAAGAATTTAAACTCGGATCAAAGCTATGATTGTTCCTCAGTAGACCTGCTGCAGTAGCAAAGAAAAATGGATTGAGTGGTAGACGCAACTGCTTATAAGGAACTGACTCAGACAAGTTAATGCTTCATTGTAGGTGAAACTGTGAATGAAATTAAGAGCCAAGATTACTCGTAAGCTCAAATTTAACCAAATATTCACCGAAAAAACCAACACGTGCGGTGTGCTATAATACTAAGTAGCAGGACTGATGAATATGAAACATTAAAAGCTAGTTGCTACTGCGCAGGTGTGCCGGCAGTTCTTCCTGAAGACGCTGTGCGTGTCGGAGAAGGCGTCGCGCATTGTGCTCGAAAAGAAAATGCGCGGGGACTTCGGTGCGCCTGAGCCTCCGCCTCCTGCTTGGTTTACGGACTGAAGCTTCAATACAAAGTTATTATTACAGTAATTTGTGGAACTAAATACTGGTTTGTCCTGTTTTCCGAGGGTTTGTATGTAAATTTGCTTCATGTAAGTAAATTTTTAGTGTACAAGCTAAACAGAGAAGAATTTTTGGATTCGGAGTTATTTACCCTGATAACTATAATACCTACCTACTGCAACAGAGGAAATTCCAACGATCGTAAGGAAAAATGAAAAGTAACAATTCAAACCATGGTTGACATGCACGATTCTGAAATTATTAATAGGTTACCTTCATTTACAATAACAAAAGTATCGGTAAATTTTTAGGTATCGGCTGATATCACAAATAGAAAAATATTCTGATAAAAATAACATAGGTAACGTAATGGCGATGCAAAGCAAACAAATATACTGAAAATTACCAGCGATGGACGTGCAGAAACCAGTAGCACTTATATTTATCATGTGTCGAACGACCCTCTCTAATTAAATTTTCAAAATGAGATTATATATTTTCAATGAACGCACGACAATAAACTCCAGTTTTCAAGATCATAATAAAAAAATAGTTCATTTAATTCACCAGAATAACACTAAATAGTGCACATCTGTAGGGTTTACTCAGAAGTGTTTCGTCAAGACACCGACCACAAGAGCAACAAAAACATTTCATCTCGATTAAGTCAACTATACCGAACATTCCTGGAGAATCATTTACGTTTTTAACAAGTGCTCGGAGGCCTTATCAGAAAATAACGGTACTTACTATTCTAGCAATTCCATAACATGAATGACCTTAAATGGTACCAACACAAACTCCCAGAAAATTTTCAACCAATGCTTATCAGAAGAGACTTACAGCTCACAATAAGTAAACATGAAATCCCAACAAAGAACAACAGCATGACAACCTCACGTCGAAATTTTCGCAATTCTCAAGTCAACAAACAGCTTGCGATATTCAGATGGAGGAAATGTAATCAATACGTTGACGGCCTAATGAATTGGGGTTATTTTCCTTACAGAAAATTTTTGTTACAAATTATGTCAATGCTACCACTGGGAACGAGAGATTCGTCTGATAATCGTAGCCTGGCTTTGGCTTAGTGCGACGAAACCTGGAGCTGGAAATAAATCATGTTGAAGAGAAAGCTTGAGGAAATATGATACGAAAACCGTATTTGGCTGCGTGATAGGAGACCATTAATATTATTTATATCGTAAGAGGTAAAAGGAAAGAGTTTCATGAATCCTCATCCGACAAAAATAAAATGTCCAAATTTGGGACCACATAAAAAAAGTTTAGCGCCTTAGCGAAAAACTCGAAGAGGAAATTGCTGCATACAATCATTTATTTTGTAAGTAGCAGTCAGATCAAATAATATCTGAATAAAAGGACGGAAAATAACACAATTGGCACTTGGTTAACGAGTGGCGCTAGCCAGTGAGCAAACCGATTGAATTATACAAGGAGAGGTAGAGGGCTATATTCACGTGCTTTAACAAAGTTTAAATTATAGAAAAATATAATTAACGTTTGGATATACAACGCCCACCTTTACATTAACTGCAGAATCATAATTTAAAGAATTACTGTCTTAAAATAATGGGGAATTTTTTATCCATCAAGGTGTAATGTAGAAAAAGGTTAATTTACTTCATGTTCATTATCCTAAATCCAAAGATATTAGAACATGGATTGCCCGTAAGACATATACTCACGTGGACAAGATTTTACCCGCGTGATTTTAATAAATTAAATTCAACTTTTAGCATCAACAATCAAACGAAACGCTGTGAGAGAATTGAGGACATGATTGTTCTCGAGTGTACAACCAATGTAACAATTATTAACCATACCGTCGAAAGAAAATTCTCATATTAAAAGCTTCGTTATTTGAGCTCTTCGGTTCTAAAAGTTCTCAAGTTACAAAAAAAAACAGGAACCATGGGGCGGTTCTCTCCAAAACGAGACGCTCAAGTTTCATAATCGCAACAAAATTTTTACTAAGACCGGACCTGCAAAGGTTAGGGGAAGAAAGCATCAGTTCGTAGTTGCTACCGAGTTAGTTAGTTTAGTGGCCACAGGTTTACTAGCGCTTCAGCTATTTAGCTATCTCGCACCGAAAGTCATGCATCTCAAAGAGACGAAGTGACAAGGAGGGACAGATGAAAAGCAACAGAAACGAAGACACTCGAACAAGAGGTCGCTTACACGGGACGTCGGCCACCCGCATGAGGGAGACAGAGAAGGGAAATTTAAGGAATCCTACATACATAATAACTTAACCCACAACCGAGACCTGCACTCAGACACCGCGAGCTCAGCGGTGGGACGCTCAGGAACAATCCCTCTAGGAGCGCGAAATCCCATATGACTTCTGACGCGCACAGACTAGTTGCTACCGAGACCAGCCATAATACTCATCAATACGCCTATTTATCTTCATTCCAGAATAATATGACAGAGTGACTGTCACATAGGATTTGCCTCTTACTTATTGTGCACTAAATTTTACGCAGTTGGAATGGGGCAAGTGGCGATATGGGCTGTGCTATTTAAAGCTTTTCATCTTCAACCTAACTTATTCAAGCTGCCTAGTGAAAAAAATGAATAAGTAAAGCATACTCATTTACACACATAGGCATAAGGAAATAAATAATCTTATTGGTTAAACAAAGGCGAAGAGACGGAGATCAATCGGCCACTAAACTCAAAAGCTTGAAATTGAAAACCTTAGCAGGCGAGCATAAGAACAGAAATCTTATTAATTGAAGAGGCAGAATTCAGGATGCACCAAACGCTCAATTTTATAACACAAAATATTTGTTAGTAAAACAAGATTTCAAGGGTTCCAATTCAACGCCATTCATTGCGCTATGAATAAAAAGCACGCCGCTTGCCGTGCACCCCTTTGATAACAAAATATATTTTTTAAAATAACAGTTCGGTCAACCTGTATTAGCTTAAATAGAAGTAAGCAAATAAGAACAAAAAAAAAAAACATAAAATTGCTCCTCACAATTATGGCTTCCGATTTTGCCTGTGGATTAAATAAATGAATGTTAAAATGCAAGTCAGCAAGATATTTCGTTTCCGTAGCTTCTGACTGTAGAGAGCAATGATGGGAATAATACATAAATTGCCGACATGAAAAGGCAATGTATTCAGGCTCCATGAATTATTGATTACTCAACAATTGGAGAGCGCTACTCGAAGTAGGTATTACTTGGAAGACACAACTATCGTCGGACCCTCAATTCCCAAATAATATAAAACTCAACCCCTCACTGAAAGTTCATTTCACAATTCACGTATGAAGAAAATAATTGAAAGAGATGAAGAAGTTACAAAGATGAAATTGAAGAAAGACGATGAAGAGAAGAGAGATGAAGTTACAAAAAACGGGCGATAGAGGGTTCACAAAAAAATTGATAATACTAAAAAATAGTAAATCCCCAAACGCCTCCTTTTGTCCCAAAGCAAGCTAATAACTCAGCTGAATGTGAACTGAGCGGCGGACCGAGGTTAACAACGAACTCATCCTTAGCTTACCAAATTTCAACTGATGCATTTCACATCACGAATCAAGAGTCGCAGTTTTCATTATTATTATTTGAAAAATGAGGTGGGACATCCCACGTTTGATAAAATGAAGTAACACAACAGACCTCCGTGTCAATAAAAGCAACAAGGATTTTAATAAGGAAGCCCGATGAGCTGAAATATCATCTGCATAACCATGAGTATTCTCAAAAATAAATTCATGGCGCACCACGAACAAAGATTATTTTAGATCAAAGATAAACTTGCATCATTACAGTTAGTATCAAAACAAGTCTCTCGAACATGCATGTGCCGCATAACACTACACTGATAATTTGAGCGTGACTCGCTACTAACCAAATAATGTTTTGTAATGAAGCTGGGCTGTGGTTTATCATTGAATTTTTTGGTAAGCCGTCATCATTGCATTTTTTGTTACTTCTTTGCAATTTCCGGCAGATTTTAAGATGAGCGCCACGATCTAAGGCACAAAACTTCCTGTTGGTCCGGTCCAAAGCTTGGCTAGCCAACTTCACGTGTCCGATCACACGCCCACGCTTTGAGTTCTACGCGTGTCCGGCCTCCTCGAAGGCGGCGATGATGAGCATGAGCACGACGCCGGCCACGAGCGCGGCCACCTCGCACAGACTCTGCCACAGGCTGCTCTGCTCCAGCAGCTCTGGTATCACTGATACCGTCGCGATGTAGATGAAGCCTCCAGCCGTAAACGGAAGGATCCACGCCACGTTTTCGTCATCTGTTCGTCAGCATAAGATGAATTTTCCGTATTTTCTCTTCACATTCATAATTTTGTTTAGTAACGTCGTATCATTATACCGTAATCACACAAAATGAGTGAAAAAATTAGTAGCGCAGTGGAATATAAATGTATTCAGAGTGAAGCAACGGCCTCCTACCTGCACCCTCGGCAAGGAGAGAGATGGCGGTGCCCGAGAGCGCCCCCACGGCCGTCACCAGCTGCAGCAGCATTGCCTGCGCAAATCAAACCCTCAGTTTTCTATTGCCGCATCCATATCTGTGGTCTGTAAAGAGCCCTTCAATAAATCAAACCCTCAGTTTTCTATTGCCGCATCCATATCTGTGGTCTGTAAAGAGCCCTTCAATAAATCAAACCCTCAGTTTTTCATTCCCACACCCTCATCTGAGGTCTGGAAAGAGCCCTGACATGAGGCATGACGTCCTCTGACGAGCGAAATTTCAACGACTCAGAAATTAGATCATTACTCACTGCAGTGAGTGACAGAGAGCGCATTTTCTCGTCCGTCCGTCCGTCCGTGAAGTCACGGACGGGCGGGCATGACGAGCACAATAGCGCCTTCTTTTTCATAAATGAGAAAATGTGCTAAAAACAGGCTTTTTCAGTTTTTCCAGAAATAAACAAAACAAACGTGTAGATCAGGTTTGAATGTGGCGCGCAGAAGACAAACAACGCAATAACGACCAAAAATACATGGCTTATGATGATCCCTCCTGAAATTTAATTCAAAGAGGAGTAAATAAAATAAAGGTTATCCCTACTTTCGTTTCGCACATAATGCTGATTTTGGCACCAATCAAAAAAGAATATACATAGGAATGAAATTATTCATATGTTCTATAAAGCATGAAGAGAAATTATCTGTATAAAAGTTTATGAGCTGAAATTGCAATTAATTCACCACTAAATAACTTTGAAACATTTATTCACTTCATTCTTCTTAAACATTGTTTTTAGCACATTTTCTCATTTATGGAAAAAATGCACTATATTGTGCTCGCCATGTCCGTCTGTCCGTCCGTGACCTCAAGTTTTCATCGACGAGAAAATGCGCTTTCTTTCACTCACTGCAGTGAGCACTGAGTTATATTTGTTTTATGTGATACTACACTAGGAGAGGCCTGCACACCTTTCTCTTTGAGCAACCACTCTGCAGAAGAATAGCAAAGTCGCCAATTTCGTGGGGGATCTCGTGGAGGAAAATAGTGACGGTAGTCACGATACCCACAGAGCGGCCTGCCAGAAATGAAGCACCAATGGCCAGACCGTCTGTTACGTTGTGAGTGAAATCAGCAGCCAGGTTCAAGTAGCCGGCAACTTTGATGTCTGCAAATATATGCAACACTTTAGACAATAGAATGGGAATACAGCAATTAGATATCTGCATACCAATCTATAAAAATAAACTGCATTAGGGCAATTTGGATAATGATACATAGATTACGAAGATGATAATATAATTATATAATGTAAATCAGCACGACCCTGGAACGTTGTAGCGAGTGACTTGGACCATTTTTAGGGCAGGTACTTTTTGTGACACAAATAGTCACATAGTAAATGTATAAAATATATCTTTATAGCATTTGTAGGTTACCTATCTTATGGTACTTCAAGAATCATCAACACAATTCTTCTATTGCCAGAATTCTCTGAGTTATAGAGTTCAAAGCAGTCAAAATAACCCCTGTCAATGGTCCAAGTTTCCCCATTTTACGTTATTATATAATATTATTTATATTGATAGTTAAGGCATAGATAAAAATTAATGGCTTAAAATAATAACTAAAATGTTTCAAATAAATTATGGAAGCTGGAATGGAATAAATGGAACAATAATTTTGTGACACAAGTTTAGCCTTCTTAATGGTATGGTATGAAAGAACAAAGTGATTAAATCCTACACAACTGAGTTTTAAGCATCAACTGATAAGTGCCTTTATCCAGTTCAAAGCAAGTTAATGTAAAACTAATAAGCAGAGTCAAACAATAACTCAACCTGATGTGAGTGCTAGGAATTCAACAAAACAATAAGAAGATCTTTAAATGAAAACTCACCTGAATTACTGGAATTTTTCTTCTCAGATTTTTTTACTTTGGCATCTCCATTAGTCTTCTTAACCTTGGCATCACTAGGTTTGCTATGACTGTGGCCATGTCCACCCTTGAATATCCTGACCATTTTTTCAACTACAAGGAAAGTTAGTATACCAGCCAATACAGACAAGCCAATTGTATTATCATGGCCATGGCCTTCTTCATCAGCTGCATGTGAATGGGAATGCGAGTGGGAGTGGGCATGTCCTGCAGCTGCTTGTTTTGCCTGTTGTGCTAGAAGAGCATGGGGGATGAGGTGCAGGAAAGCATCACCCAGCAATCCTCCAGAGGCAAAAGCAAGAAGAACTTTGAGTAAAGGTTGATGTTCTGAAGCATTGTTGATAGGAATCAAGAATAAGATGAGGTAAGGGGCAAGACTTATTAGTAGTGTAGCTGTCATTGCTTCCAACCACACATTGGAGCTTTCTTGAGGAGTGGCTGTGGGTTCAGGTCTTTTTTGAGGTTCATTGGCAGCTTTGCTATACTTGAAGGCTGGGTCTTCATGGTGATGATGGTGGTCATGTGAATGGCCATGAGAGTGGTCATGTGAGTGGCCATGGGCACAAACAAGAGGCAAAGAAAGGAATATGCACAAGAAAATGCATACAGGAACTACAATGCTAAGCACTTGTTTCAGTGAAATACTCATGGCTCAATCTATTTTTGAAATTTATTGAGAAAAAATAATTGCATGCATCCATATGCCAGCAACTACTTATGCTGAAGGATCTGGAACCAAAATTTTATTATTTATTGTGTGATAATCATCTGTAGGACAGAAACTGATGCCTATGATCTACCTGCCTTAATTGAATATAGGTATACCTACACCATTGATATATTATAATGATGTTTAGATAGTATAGGCCAAATAGCAAGTAAAAATTTGAATAGGCCAAAGAGTAAGTAAAAATTGCCATAGTCAACATATCATGATTGAGGATTGCACAGTTGTTATTTATACAAGAAGTCAAACAAGTGTAGAAAAGCTTAACATTTACATGAAAAAAAATTAATACATATGAGTTAGAAAAATAAATTTCATAAGTTATTTAATTTCATAAATTATAAATTAAAGTGGGACAGGACTACTTGTAATCATTTCTTTGGCCTTTTGTCACTAATGTTTTTTTTTCATCTACATCTGTGTTTGCCTAAAATTTTGTAAACATGTACCACTTGCAGGTCACAAAGAGTTGGGGCATCACAATTATCCCACCACATGTATAAACTGTCAAAAATAATCATCACATCAACCGTTTATGGGCAGGAAACATTTTGGCACATTGAAAACTTTTCAAGTAGAAATTTTTCATACCACAGAAGTCAAAGTAAAACACTGAATGCCAGCCAGTACAGACAATACATCCATATATATATATATAGGTATTAGTACCACTATTGTGTGGCATAATAAAATTTTAAAGAAAATTAAACTTTTTACACATTAAACACATGTCAAAGGTGTTAATAATAATGTTGTTGTTGTTGTTGATGTTCCCCAAGCCCCGGTCATGCCAGGAAGCCCGCGCCGAGCAGGAAAGCCGCCACCCGAGCCGGCTCAGACCATAACTGCGCGATGGAGGTTATGCCTGCCCGGAGCCTGGGTGCTGCCAGCTCCGGGCACTACAGCAGAAGATGCTTGACAGTATGGGGGACTGCTTGACATTGGGGGCACAGGTCCATTTGAGTGCTGTCCAGGTGGTGTTTGTAAGAGTTTAGCAAGGGATGGTGACCGCAGCAGAGTCTGCTGAGGTGCACCCTGTCTGCACGGCTCAACTGCTGTTCTGCATGGCTGATGTCTGGTGGTAAGTCATCAATGATGCTGTTGATTGGTAGATTTAAGAGTCCGTTCCGGGTTAGGTGTGTGTGTATGTGTTTAATGAAGGTGGCTGGGTCTGTGGGCGGAGGTATGGAATTAATTATTGTGAGACAGTAGTTGTATGGAGTGTTGGTAATATGTCTGTGTGGGGGGTAGGTACTGAAAGTAATGGCAGGGACTGAGGGGATTGTGGAGTGCTGATGCAAGGTATTGGGGCCTCTCATGTCTAGGTGTTCTTTCATAGAGAGGACTTTGGTTTCAGCATGGACATGACTGGATGGTGTGGTTTGGGTGCTGCCAATTGCAATTCTGAGGGCTGTGCTTTGTAGGTGTTTGTGAAGTGTGGGTGAAATTATGGGTGCCCAGGCTGGACTTTCATAGTCCGGCACTGAGCATATGTATTGTTTGTACACTAGTGTGAGGGTTTCTTTATTCTGTCCAAATGTTGTTCTTGTGAGGGCTCTGAGTGTGTTTAGCCTAGGTCTGCATTTTGGGAGGGCCAAATTACTCGCTTCAACCTCACTGGGGAGCCGTGGGGAGATGGCTCCCCAGAGTGCTGCGTCCTGGGAGGCGCTACCCGGTTGGATTGGACCAACTGTTCTTTCTGATGGGGGACTTGGAGACCCAGCTACCAGGTCCCTGTACCTTCTCATCCTGCTTGGTGGTGACATCAAGCTAAACCCGGGCCCCATCACCTATTGCCCTGCCTGCACCAAGCGTGTGACATCTACTCGCTGGAGTAGGGGATCTGTCTCGTGCAACAGTTGTTGAAGCTGGTTTCACCTCACGTGCACCTCGCTGTCAACCCTTGTTAATAATGTAATGACAAACTCTATGCAAACTTGAAATCCTGCAGCTCAGTACTAGGCACGGTATTGGCTTAAATTTAGAGTACGTAGATGCAGAAATTAAAAATGAACTGATTTTACTCCAAAAAACTTCCAATTTGACACTATCAATACAATGTGCCACATGCCATAAAAGAATCAAAGTTTATCTCACTATTCTGTGTGGTATGGTAATAAAAACTTTGCTGGTATTATCAAAATTGTGAAACTTTTCTGCAATATTCGACCAAATTTTTTGTTTATTTTAGAACATATCATTGAAAAAATTGTTCAGTTACAGATAAATGACTAGTGAAGATATTTGAGAATGGTTAGTCACAAGCAGTTGGTAAATCATGCAATGTCAGAATAGCAGTAGTCCCGTACCACTCAGTACTATACTCTTGCCCAAAATTTCCGCACCCAAACAAAATGACTGAAAATTTTTGGTAATGTAATAGTTGTGGTTATGTCAAACAGCTTGCTAACAGCCATCAAATAATAATAAAAAACAATGAAACATCAATGAACCTTTGATTAAAGTAAAAAGAATGTGTAAAATTGCCCAGGTCAAGTAATTTTATTTTGGCTCTTTTGAAGTTAAAATCAAATATTTTAGGCAAACACTGCCACAGTTCATATTTGATCTTCCCTGGCTCATTAAAAGGATTCACAGCTGCAAACAAACTCATAGTTTGTATATTTCTTATAGCTGCAAATCAAATATATACAAGTACAGCTCCAAAAATGGAGGCTGCCACTGGGAGAGCAGATCTTTCCCAGTCCCACACATGCTTGATGGAGCAAAAATATTTCAAATTCATCCCAACTTTTTCTCTGTGGAGCAATGATAGAACAGTTAAGCACCCAACTTTTCAAACTCAACCCAAGATTGTGTCAACAACTGAACATCATTGACCAATTTCCCTGCCAGTGAGGAATATTGGAAAAAATTTTCTAAAAATTTATGGTAAAAATTCAGTAATGGTATTTTTTTTTAAATTGCTGGCAAAAATGTGCCTTCTTGTTGTTACAAAATGAATAAGGTTTGGGCCACAAGAACAAGTGAAATTGTCAATAAGCATGGGTGGTTTCTTTCATAGTAGATATTTGTGGTTCACAACAATAGGCAAAGCAGTAAATTTCACCTAAAATGCATGGTAGGCCTTTCTACTAATTCTCATGCTTGACTGACAGCAATAGTTAGGCCACTCTGATGCATTTTTGGAAATTGTAAAAGAGAATTAAAAATTATATCAATGAAAATCTCTACTGAATACTGACATGCTCCTTTTATATACTTACAGAGCAATGATTCATATATTAACCAGTGGTGCCACAAGGCAAGCAAAAAAAGTGGTAATTTTATACTTTCATGCTAAATAAATTAGGTCAGGGCCATGAAAACTAAAATTTTCTCCAACCATGGCTCCATGGGCATTCCTGTCCTATTCATGGGAGGCTTCTGCCCAATCTTCCATGGGATTATGGGAATACACCATTGAATGGAAATGATGATAATCAAAAGAATTGTGATAACCACATGGTGATAACCAAAGGAAAATAAAAAAAAAAAACAGTAAAATTGGGGAGAAGCTACCTTTGAACAAGANGTTCCGGGAGATGTGTATAAGAGACAGGGGATGTCTCGTCTCGTCTCGGTATCGTCCCGGAATTCCTACGGAGGGCTGAAAATTGTCCCGGTTTTTATTGCGAACCGGGACAGAGCCTGTTGTCTCGTCTCGTCATAAACAAAATGCCAAACGCAGGAGTCTACAAGAATCCAATCAACGCTTGAACGCGCCCAACGTAATTACAGTCACAAGAATCCAATCAACGCTTGAACCGTTGAACGCGCCCAAGTGCCCAATGTACCAGTCACAAGAATCCAATCAACGCTTGAACGCGCCCAACGTAATTACAGTCACAAGAACCCAATCAACGCTTGAACCATTGAACGCGCCCAAGTGCCCAATGTACCAGTCACAAGAATCCAATCAACGCTTGAACGCGTCCAACGTACTGTCACAGGGATCCAATCATTGCTAGAATGTGTGCAACGTCACAGCCACAGCCATAGTGACAAACCAGAGATTTTTTAGAATCAGTTCATTTTTAATTTCCTCATTTACCAATGATTTAAACCAATTTCTTATGTATGATGATGCTGGCATAGTGGCAAACCAAAGATTTTTTAGAATCAGTTCATTTTTAATTTCCTCTTTTACTCAAGATTTTAACAGATTTCTTATGTATGATAATTCTGGTATCCAAGATACTTTACTGGTCTACTTATAGGACTCAAAAATGAACTTGAAGAAGGGTCTAAAAAACTCTCTGCTTTGCCACTATGGATGCTGGTATCTAGGATACTTTACTGGTCTACTTATAGGACTCAAAACTGAACTTGAGGGAGAGTCTAAAAAACTCTCTGCTTTGCCACTATGGCCACAGCCACTGGAATCCAATCAGCGATAGAAAGCTAGAAGGGACCGCCTCAAATGCACATAATCTTAACGCAGTGATGCTAACTTTATGCGTAATGCTACAATTCTTATTTCAAGAGCGTAATACAATAGTGTAGACTGTAGTTACCGTCAACCAGGGCTACTCGGGACACTTTTGAACGTTTTTATTCTTAACTTCTTAAGTTCTTAGGTACCATGAAACATTTCATAAACAAATTTAGGCTCATTTTATAGCTCTTTGCGAGGGCTATCGAATGACATCTTCAAAAAAATTCCATATGCTATTTGTAAGGTGCCAGAAGCAAAAAAAAGAGTGTCCTGAGTAGCCCCGTCGAACGGGGCTACTCGGGACACTTGCAATAAAACTTCATTTCAAAATATTTGAAGCATGCAGAG